CTGAACGTCCTTCTGTTTTGGCAAATCGTCCCGAAATAGGAGCACAAAACAGAGGTACGCCGCGACCATGTGATGAATATTTCTTCGACGAATTTTTATCTTACGCCATACGTGCCTTCACCGGGGATCATAACTATACTATAGCCTTAGCTTTTTACTCGGATATCAACCCGTACTCGAGGCTCTTATTTCTTTCAAACACATCTACCATAATCACTTACCTCCCAGTCGTCGAACTAATTATTTTATTTCATAACTATCCCATGAACGTAACATTGAAAAGGTTGCGGCTCCAATGCACATTGTGACGGTGGTTGGCCAGCGAAGCTGTGCTATCACCCGCATTTTGTACTGCCCACTTAAGCTATACCGAATTCTGCCGCTAGTCGGAGCACGTCGCCGTTGGTCGTATTGACGTTTCTTTCCCCTTTGCCGCTCTTAGTATTCACGCTGCTCCTTGGGAGTCCTAACTGTGCGCGGATTACCCATAGCGGTGCAGCAAAAAACCACCAAATCAGTCGCTATACTACGTTTCACCTTACGTCCAAGCACGGATGTTACGAACCATCCGAGCGAATCCAAGGCCGTGTGAGTGGCACGTGACCTTGGAGAAGAGGCACAGTGACGCGCGAAAGCGAAGCACTGGCCATGTTCACATAAGGGGATTGGCTAGGATAGCTCGTTGCGTCCTCTCCGTCCCGATCTAAGATGAAACGGAGTATAGAAAAGGCTCTTATTTCATATATTATAGTGACTTCATTCCTCACGTCGCAAGCTGCCGTTGCCGCAGCAGCTTTGCGCAACAGTAATCCTTGCCGGTAAACGGTCAGCGCTACGCGCTTTGCACTGTAAGCAGGAGAGCCTTGTCTACAATTATCTGGTTCGTACGCTTGTTTTCTGCTTGTTCTTTATTGAAATGCTGTATGTTGCATGCGCTATGTACGCAGAAGTGTTTTTCAATCACTGAAGTGTTTTTTTTTATTTTCTTTTCCCCGTGTTGACGCCGGCAAGAAGAATTTGACCAACGAGTCTTATGCAGCTTCGCTTTAATACATGATTTATTATATTCGAGGGGGGTCAGTTTGAACTGGAATCCTTCATGATTTTAGAAACAACTAGAAGATCTTCTAGAAAGATATTTCTTTATTAACAGTATATATCACACGAACATAAACGTCGTGTCCGATAATAGTAAACTGGAATTTTATGTAGAGCATAAGTTTTCTCTTTTGACTAAGCTGAGAGTATAATTATTTGTGCAGGACAGAAGCTTGTGATGCCCGATTATGAAATTGACACGGTAAGCTCCTTCGTTCCCTTAAAAAGTAATGGGAAGTCAGTTTATTTTATTTCTGTTAGTTTAATTTATTCAAGAATTTTATCGATCTGAGGCAACTCTTTTTAGCTCTTGGTTACCATAAACTGAAAACGCATTTAACAAATACTCCGAGACGCTCCTCAAGAAGGAATCAAGTTGTACTTCTAATGCAATTAGATTCCATAATTGAAAGTTCTCTGGAAGGCAGTTAAACCTATACGTGGACCAAAAAACTGAAGTACATGGGCTTCAAGCATATTTAATAACGCTCTAAGTAAGATTTAAAATTCCAAATAATTTATCGTTCATCGCTGAACTAGAACGTTTTCAAAACCGCAGATACATTACTATATGTCTATAAAAGAACGTTTGTCTCAAATTGAATATTACAGAAGGAGCTAGGGCGATCCCCTAGGCTTTTAAAATGCATCTTAATACATATGCTACAAGCCCACCAGGCAGATCTCAAAACAACCAAGGTTCTTTTTGCCTATCACACTTTAGTGCATTCAAACACTTAATTATATCTGCTCACATCCAAGTTTACAACTTTAATGGGAGCACGCTCATAATATTTAAGAAGCTAAAATCATTGTTTCCACGTAAAAGCCACATTTCAGTTTTGGAAGATAGGCCCAGTATATTTTTTTAACCAAGAGATTGACAAAAAGAATATTATAGCGCTGAGTAATCCTGGTTTCTTTATTGAACATTGTATTTTGACATCTCTAACAATTTTGCACTTTCGTAAAGAGACGCATCCAGGGCATCCAGGGAGCATTTTTGTGGTTTCACAATTTCTATCGAGAAAAGTACTCTGCTCGAAACCTCGAGTATCATATTGCGGTAAGCTGTGAACACACATCCTTCCTCATTTTTATAAACTTAATAGTGCGATTTCAATCACTATACGTTATTTGTCAAGCACTCGCGTTTAATTCCGAATACAAACTTGCTACAACAAGTTAAGACAACTCCAATAATAGCCTTCTGCGTGCTGCCGTCTTCTTCGACTCTTCTTTGGAACACGACCCCAGCATGCGCAGTGAATCTTTTCGTCTTAAGTAGCAACACGCTACTGCAACTTCCTATGTACATTTGAACTCTAATGCGAAACATTTTCATAATCTAACTTGCCACTGTATAGTTCTGTTACTTTTGTTATAAATTCGCGTTAAGAGCAACGACTTAACTTTTGTCGTCACTTTTCACGCTTTCTTCTGCATTCAGACATTATCTTGAACGAGTACAATCTACCAGTTTTATGCAGTTTTCAAATGATGCGTTCTGAAATATTTATTGTCATGCTCGCCTTGCGACAGCTTGCACGAAATTTACTATACTTCGCTTCACCTTAGGTTTGAGCATGGCCGATATTACGAGCCGAAAGGCCAATCTAACGGCGAAAACGGCGCACTGTCATGGCGTGTTCTCCGCAGTTCGTATGACCAGCGACGTTCGCCGTCTTTCTGCGCGTGCTCCTCCGCTGGCTCGTCTTATCGAGAGCGGAGAACGCCAGCACATTGCGCTTTTTGCGCTGTTTGATTGGACCTTCGGCTCATAACAACGGCCACGCTCGGACCTAAGCTGAAGCCGAGCATAGCACGCTTTGTAATAATCTTTTGGGAGGGAGGGGGGGGGGGGGGGGGGCGGGCGGAGGGAGAGGGAAGGATTTATTTACTTCCGTTAACGGTCACGGGAACATTGCTACTGTTATTTGAACGTGTGGTGCCTGGGGCGCGTCCCCGACAGATGTTTTTACCGCTTCCATAAAAGTTGTCCCGCCAATTCTGCATGATGACGTTATCGAAGGGTCATGCTGTCAACGGTCGTGGCCCTGGTGATGTCGGAGCAAACTGGTGGATTTGAGAGACGCCTTTACTGGCGCCGGTCGCTTTGCAGCTTGACAGTCCACAGAACCTTTGACAGTCAGGAGTTGAAACTCCGTGAGGAGAGCGACACTCGCACTCATTCGTCTTTTTTTCTCAGCATTCTTAAGTCCAACCGCCAGGATCACGACATGGTCAGGATGACAGCCGAGTTTTATGACGTCATTGCATTCAAACGAACGTTGCTAGATTACCTCAGTTGTGGAACTCAAGCGCAAGGGGGTACGCCCCCTCACTCACTTCAATCCGCCAAGTGTCGTTCGAAGCGCCATCTAGATTTTCGTTTCATAACTGTGCGTTCCAAAGAGCAGAGATAAAGCGTCATCTAGACGCCGTGCTTCGAAACGTACGTAGCAATCCCAGCGATCCCGACCCAATTTCACCGTGCCCGATTCCCATACAATACGCTACAGTTACCAAAGCAGCTGTCCGGCGGCGCGTCGAGCGACGCTTGGCGAGTCGTGGTGAGTGAGGGGGGAAGGGGGGGTACTGTTTGTGCATGCAGCGTCTATGAGCAGTTCCGTAACTGAGGTAATCTAATAACGTTGATTCAAACCTATGGTTCTTCGATTCCCGCCGAAGACGTCATTGAAGTGTGCTGTCGCCGGCCGCGATCCTGGCGGTGTTACAGCAGCGGACGTGCGTGTGGCAGACGCTTGTTCTGCTGCAGGTCCTTCTCCAGCTTGGCAGCCCACGGAAGCTTCGGCAGGCAGAAGTTGGGACTCCGCGATGAGAGCGAAACTCGCGTTCACTCGTACTTTTTACAGTGACTTCCGGCACCAATCACCCCCCGCAGGGGGCACCTGTGAAAGCAGGTGTTTGGAGAGTGGCGTCTCCACCGACCCCGAGCCCCTCAGGGGGCACCTGCACCTTAGGTGCTAGGTGCTTGGTGAGTAGCGTCACCACGGATCCCAGCCACGTGGGCCACCATGCCCGCACGCAGGGGGCACCTACTTTTGTAGGTGCTTGGTGAGTGGCGTCACTAGTGTATGAAGCAGCACGCATCAGCCAGAATAACGATTCGGAATGAATGCTCTTTATTCTCTCGTGCCCTGTGTCCGTCGTATCTTTCTCTTCTTCCAGTGGTGCCATCGCTGGCTAGCTGCTACATCTCCTTTGTCAGAAAAAAAAAACTAGTTTAGAGATCTGTGTAAATCTAAATATCGTGGTCATGTCCATATCGTTGTGGTGGCCTTCTATCCCTTGTTCCTCTTCGAATTAGCGGGCGCGGTTCAGACTCAACTTGGCCCTCGTTTACTGGCTCTGTAGCCTCGGAGGTCGTCTTTTGGGGGGATTGTGCCACTGGTTTAAAGTTTTCGCGTGTCCTTCGAAGCACTTGGCCTTCCGGGGTCTGAATGTTGTTGGATCTTGATGTAGAATGGCCCACTACTATTGCAGGTGACTACGTATGCTTGAGGCTGTTGTAGACGGTAGTTTGAGAACCTGTTTAATATCTGCTAGTGCTCGAGAGGACTTGTCATAGCTAGCCTTCAGTTGTTGCCTTATTTTTGTGAGGCGTTGTGTGACGGCTTTGGGCGGTACGATAACAGGTAGGTAATGTTCAAGCCTGGCGGGCAACAGCGTTCTTGTATGCCCGCTCATCAATCTTTGCACTGGTGATTGGAGGACCTCGTCTCGTGGAGTGTTGCGCCATTCAAGAAGTGCGTAGTAAAACTCTTCCCTGTTCGCACTTTTTCTCAGCAATTGTTTCGTTTGCCTCACGGCTCGTTCGGCCATGCCATTTGATCGGGCATGGTAAGGGCTTGAAGTTACTTGCTCGATCTTCAAGTTTTTCAGGACCTGTTTGAAGTCGTGGCTCCCAAACGGGGGCCATTATCACTTAAAAGTTTTGAAGGGAGTCCGTGTGTTGCGAAGGCCTTCAAGCAAAACTCTTTAACTTTGGAAGCTGTGGTGGTTTTCATTTCTTCGACCTCGAAGTAAAATGAGTAGAAGTCCACTATGATTATGAAATCCCGTCCTTGATGAGTAAAGAAATCCACACTAACATACTGCCAAGGCAGTGCTGGCACCACATGACTCAAGAGTGGCATCTTGACATTTCTTGGCTTGTACTTTTGACATATGCTGCAGTTGTCGTACTTGCCCTCAATGTCAGCGTTGATTCCTGGCCAAAACAGGATATCTCGAGCTCTTCTTTTCATCTTCTCCTTGCCTGCGTGTGCTGCGTGCAGCAGGTTGATGATCTTTTGCCTAATAGCTGTAGGTATGACTAGCTTGTTGGACCGGAGTACAAGTCCATCTTCTTCATGGATTTCCTCCCGGTATGACCAAAAAGGCCTTCCAAGTTGCGGCACTTGGTCTTTCTCTTCCGGCCATGCAGTCCGCGCATACTGACGCAGTAGTTGCAGTTGCGCGTCACTCGCGGTTGCCTCTCGGATTTCTTGAAGGCGGTCTTGAGTAACTGATATGTGCTCTAGCGCGTTTACTTGGAACTTTTCCTCTTCTTCCAGCGTTTCCTTAGCGGGAAAACGTGAAAGTGCGTCTCCTAGCAGCAGTTCTTTCCCAGGTATATGCTTCACTTGCAACGAGTATTTCTGGAGAGCCATCTTCATTTGTTGTAGTCTCATCGGATACTGATGCAGTGGTTTGGTGAAAATAGCTTGCGACGGCTTGTGATCCGATTCTACTGTTACACACGGCTGTCCGAATATGTAATGGTGAAACTTGGTACATCCGTGAACAATAGCAAGCAACTCCTTCTCGATATGCGCATACTTTGTCTGTGCTGCTCTCAGGGATCTCGACGAATACGCTAGTGGCTTTCCTTCCTGGGTGATAACTGCTCCCACGCCGTATTGACTTGCGTCGACTGAGAGCGTTATGGGCTTTTCTGGTGTGTAGTATGCCAACACTGGTGCTTTTGTCAAGGCATCCAGCAGGTCTTCAAAGCTTCTTTGTTGTTGTTCTGTCCATACCCACGAGCTCTCCTTCTTTAGCAGTTCCCGCAGCGGTGCTGCTCGCTCCGAAAGTCGTGGTATGTGATCATTCCAAAGAATGTTCGAAGTTCCTTGGGATCTCTAGGTTCTTTCACTTCCAGGATGTCTTGGATCCTGTCTGGATCCACGGTGATGCCGTCTCCGGTTAGTACTTGCCCGAGATAACGAACTTCTGTCTTGCCAAATTGACACTTTTTCGGGTTGAGAGGTTCACATTTCGACAGCGTTGGAGCAGGCGCCTAATGTTTTATCGTGTTCTTGCTGGGTTTTACCCCAGACTAGTATATCGTCCATCACAACTGCTGTTCCGGGGAGGTCTTCCAAAATCTCGTTCATGTCGCGCTGAAAAACTTCAGGAGCTGTGCTTATCCCAAAGGGCATCCTTTTGAACCTGTACCTCCCATAGGGAGTACTCATTGTGCAAAACTTCGAACTCTCTTCGTCGAGTTCTATTTGCCAAACCCAGAAGATGCGTCCAGAGCCGAAAACACTTTCGCTCCGGCAATTCGGGTGGCGATGTCATCCATTGTCGTCATTGGGTAGTGTTCTCTTCTCAGAACTTTGTTCAAGTCTACTGGATCAATGCAGATGCGCACTTTGTCTTTCTTTGCGACAACTACCATGAAGCTGGACCATTCGGTCGGTTCCTTGACTTTCATGATTACCCCTTCGTTCTCCATTCTATGTAGCTCGCGCTTGACCTTCTCCTGGAGAGCCACCGGTACCTTTCTTGCTGGGCGTACAATACCTTTTTTACCAGGGTTTACTTTCATGTTGTATGTAAAGCCCCTGACTTTTCCCAGTCCAAGGAAGACATCTGCATATGGTCACGTAGGATCGCTCAAGCTTGTAGCAGTTTCCTTTGTCGCATCGTTGGGTCCTTCTGTGACTGTAGCTATGCGTCTGATCAATCTGAGCCTCTCACTCAGCTCTCCCGCTAGTGTCACTGGTACATCATCTTTGACCACAAAGAACTCCTCTTGGGTCGTTGAGGCTCCAGTCGACACTGTCAGGGTAACTCTTCCACACGCTTTTTCTTTGTGGCCAAAGAACGATGACAGTGTAGTGTCACACTTGCGGACTTTTTTACTAGAGATCAACCTGAGTAATCTCCTTGGGATTACGGAGCAATTTGCTCCTGTGTCGAGCTTGCAGCGTAGGCGGTCTTTTTCGATCTGTATTGTCTCACTCCAGCGGTCTTCTTCGTCTATTTTGTTCACTGTTAGGTGACAGAGCAGATAGTCTTCATCGCTTTCGTCAGTGTCCTCGCGCTCAACTTGGCGGACTTTGTGGTCGTATTTTCTTCCTCTTTTTCCTTGGCGCTGCTGTCGGCTGTTAGATGACTGTGGACCTTTGCTGCAGCATTTTGCAAAATGTCCAACTTTGCCACAGCTAAGGCATCGCTTTCCTGTAGCCGGGCATGCGCTCGTGCGGTGTACGAAACCACAAGAGCGGCATGTCGCTTGGTCTTTTCGCAGCGCCTGTATTCCTCGTGGGTCCTCACTTCGGTCATCCTCATTTTGGTCATACTCTTTGCGGATTTCGTTGAACTGCTCCTGCGTTCGTCGTATCCCACCGCTGCCACCATGTATGAAGCAGCACGCATCAGACAGAATGGCGATTCGGAATGAATGCTTTTTATTCTCTCGTGCCCTGTGTCCGTCGTATCTTTCTCTTCTTCCAGTGGTGCCATCGCTGGCTAGCTGCTACAACTACGAACCGCGAGCCATGTGGGTTCGCCCACCCACGTCTGGCTGTGCGTGGCGTACCCGTGTCCGGGGGAAAGGGGACCCTGGTGGTTGAGCTGGGCCCGGGGTATGTTTGGACCCTTCGGGGCCCGCCGGGCGAGGTAATACACTGCTTCGACCCCTGCTTCTCGTAGACGGGTGTCCTGGCTTGGCCCGACCAGGATGATTCAGTTAGTCACCTCTTCTACCCTCTTCTTCCTTCTTTCACTTTTCCTCCCACCTCTTTCTCTTTTCTTCTGCACTCTCTTCCTTCCTTTTTCACCTTGTTAGGCGGCAAGGGCTAACCTTGAGTGGAAACAGGTTCTGTCCCTGCATCCACACTCGGTTGGGGGATCGGTGGCCGAGTGGTCTAGCGCACACCAGCTCGGAGCACGTGGAGCTAAAGCTCGCGCTGCAGAACTCAGGGATCCTGGGTTCGAGCCCCACCCCTGCCCGTTTCGATCTGGATGAGCATCGTACCGGCGTGCGGTCGTGTATCACTACTGCGTGATGCACGTTAAAGACCCCAGGCTAGCGGCTGTACCGCACTGGCTAAATTTCTCATCTACAGCTGGGAGACTCGTCGCCCCTGTGAGGCAGACCAAGTTCTAGGCTGTATAAATACACACACAACCCATTTTTTTTTCCACACTCGGTTATAGTGCCCGGGCAGCACTGGAAGAGTAATTGTGTCAGCCAAGCCTTTCTTGTTATGGCACATTACCTACCCCCTTGTTGGATTCCGTGGCGGGCGGTGCACCCGGGCACTGAACTTTCTTTCCCATCTTTATGGGCACCAAAACTAAACTACCTGATCGGGCCCTGAAAAGGACGCGCACCGAAGCATTGCCAACATTTCTCTCCACTGACAATGTAATTGACCATTTATAAGATTTTTTGTTCTCCACTCTGACGATGCATCTAAACCACTTTTAAGAATATCTCCGTTCCTTGTCGCCAAAGTGCTTCAAGGCACGCTAGGAGCGAAGTATAACGCCAAAACGCTCTTCTCAAATGACATTCTTGTGGAGGTTTACGAGAAATACCACGCTACGGCTTTAATGAATCTCCAAGCAATCCACGATGTCAAAGTGACAGTGTCAGCCCATCGAACACTGAACACCATCCGCGGTGTGATCTCGGAAGACGATTTGATAGACAGTACCGAGGAAGAAATTGTAGAAGGCCTGCAATCCCAAGGAGTTGTTGCTGCAAAGCGCATCACAATCCGTCGAGATGGTGAGGAACGACCCACTAAACATGTCGTTCTGACCTTCGAGAGGCACACTTTGCCTCCGTCTATTAAGGCAGGCTACATCAATTGCAAGGTACGACCTTACGTCCCGAATCCACTCCGCTGCTTTCGGTGCCAGCGGTACGGTCACGGATCGCGCACTTGCCGCGGTCGTGAGACATGCGCCAGGTGTGGCGGCAGGGACCATACCGCTGATGGCCGCAAAGCTGAAAACAAATGTGCCAATTGCAGTGGCAACCATCCTGCCTACTCCAGATCATGTGACCACTTCAAAAAAGAAAAAGAAATCCTTGCACTTAAGGTTAAAGAGAACATAACCTACCGGGATGCAAAGAGTCGCCTTTCCGCTTTCCAGAGGGGCTCTTTTGCCGAGGCGGTGTCCAGCAGGGGACCTGCACCGTCCAAGATATCGGTGGCAACCCAGGTGTCCCTTGGGAACCCTGGGAAACCACTCCAGTCCTCCACGCCCAGGTTGAAGCTTTCTCTTCCTGGGCATTCCCTCTCGGCTGCCAAGGCAGCTGAGGCATCCGGTCATTCCAAAGACCCGGGTTCTATTCAGGCACTGGAGATGACTCCATTGCCCACACCTCGCAGGTCGTCCTCGAAAGAGAGCGAGCGAGCCCCTCGCTCCTCCTCTCAGAAGAGGACTTCCTCACCCAAGAAAACTCCAGCTTCGGGGGGAAGCACACCAGCTGACTCCCGGAGTCAGAATGGGCAGGCAATGCCTGTCCGTGGTTTGAGGACTTCCTCTGGTGAGGAGCGGCACTCTCGCCAAAACTCGCTGGAGAGGTCCTCCTCATCGAAAGGGCAGCATCGGGCTGCCCCTTCAGGATCTCAGGGGCAGGAACAGAGAGACTCGGGCAATATCACGGCCAGTATCTCCCCTGCGTCTTCAGTGGGAAGTGGTCGTGGACGGGGTTTTCCACCCCGTGCTGCGGACCTACCCAAAACTCTAGGAAAAGTCTCGTCCGAGGAGGTAGAGGCGATGGACGAGGCTACTGATCCGGCTACTCCTGCGTCCGACCACGAAGACATGGAGTGGCAAACCTCAAACCGTAAATCGAAAGGGAAGAAACCTGTGATTGCTCCCAAATAGATTATACCAATTTACCCCTTTAATCGCGAGTATTAATTTTCTTTTTCTCTCTCCCTTTTTATTAATTTATTCGTATATTTTTTACCTAAATGAGAAACTTGCATTTTATGCAATGGAACTGTCGAGGTTTCTTACCCAACATCGATGACGTTAATTATTTTATGGGTGAGCTTCGGCCTATTGCCCTCTCTTTACAAGAAACTCATCTTCAATCACATCACACACAAATTTTGCGACATCATCAAGTGGTCCGCAAAGACCGTTCGAACTCCAGTTCTGGCGGTGTAGCAGTGGTCGTGCAGAGTGGGGTTGCCTGCTCGGAGGTTCCTCTTTGCACACCGCTCGAAGCTGTAGCGGTACGCCTTCTTTTAGACCGCCTCGTAACAATTGTTTCCATTTATTTGCCACCAAACGTTCCATTGCAACTTCACGAACTCCAAGGGCTTGTAGGGCAACTCCCTGAACCCTTCTTAATTTTAGGAGATTTTAATGCCCATCACCCTATGTGGGGCAGTACTCGCCTCGATTCTCG